CTCGTCAGTTCACACAGCGCCTTGACCAGACCATTTCAAGCCGACGCACGACTCACTGTGCAGGAAAAGTCTGGGCTCGAAATCGTCTTGGATTAAACGACAAAGAACAGGCCAGATTTCAACACACTCGGTCGAGACGCCATTCAATTCAACGGCGTCCCACAAACATTGGCTGCATCGGCTACAACTTATCAAACGAAGAACTCGATAAGTCTCATACTTCTTTTGTCCATTATTCAGTTGTAATTTGTGTCTCTGGTAGCCACTATACATAACTGTTTATTGTTAGTGCTATTTCACCTTCTGATATTACTTCGAGTAAAAAGACAATAGCACCTACAGAATCACGTCTGTTCGGTTGATTCTGAATCGATGGTTGTCGTAAGATAACGGGGAGCAACTCCTCCAGTTGTGTGTTTCTGGCCAGCACGAACTTCCAGCATAAACGTTCGCATCGCGTAATGTGGCGGCCAGCAACTGCAAATCAACCGTGGACCCAGTGGAATCACGTGGCCACTGTGGAAGACCACAATTCAAGACTGTCATTCCTTCTGCGGCACATGACTTGATTCCGGTTACAACATGGTGCGTGCACGCCTGACAATTCGTTTCCCTTGAGGCCCTCGCAAGTCAGCAAGAAGCATACCAATCTACCGTCGTCGAGGAACTACCATAGCTCGACAGTATCGATCTGAACCAGCTCAACAGCTCTCTACGGTAAACCAATACTGTACTGGTAGTGAGCACGTATACGAAGTATGGCAAGATGTGAAAAGAGCTGTGCTGCCGACAGATTCTGGAGCAGCAACACTGCATCCAGCCACTAACAATGGTTGTTTCTTGAAATGAAAATTGCCTTTGACTCTGTGGACCGTCAGGCACCATGGCAGTGTCTGTGGAGCAGAGGTGTCCCCCATAAATTCTTGACCGCTGTACGTCAACTACCACGGATGTGTGAAGGTCTACGGGAAGCACTCGCCTGAGTTCACAACATCAATTGGTGTCGTGCAAGGCTGTCCTTTTTAACCTTTCGCCTTCGACTTCGTCATTGATACGCTTATGCAAGGCTCACTACCTATCTGATACCTGTTGGGTCCAAATGCTTCCAGGGAATTCGCTCACCGAATGGTTCTCGAAAGAAATAACTCGTCCATCTTAGATGACGTGATCACACTAGCCAGGCTGCCCTGGCCAGTGCCAGTTGACGAGCTAGGGAGGGCCAAAGGGCTTAAGCGAAGCATAGAGGCCAGTACCAGGAAACTCAGCAACGCTGGTTATTGCCGTCTCCCTGGATGAGGACTGGGGTTAGACACATCGCCAGGCATGACCTAACCACGCCCCCACTGTCATTCGTGTATCCAGGTTGTTGGCTTCAGTGAATAGCCCCTCTCACGATTTCCCCAATGAAAAGTCCCATGGTATCCCTGTATTCACGCATCAATTATATCAGTTACCGCCTTCAACGCGTAGCCATCTACCCCACCTCCCTGAGTCATCGGTAAACGAAACTGTGGCAGCGAGGATCACTGTACGGTAAATCTACAGACTACCCCACAACAATTAGTAAATACAACAGATAAATGGCTTATACCGGTCTGTGCTAGCTATCATTAAGTAGATCCCACGGGAGAATCTCGAATGAAGTGACAAGTACTAGGTAGGACCGATAGAGCTTGCCACACAGGTTGGTCAAACGACCTCAGGTTGGGGATGGGGGCGCAGTTGAATCTCATATGGCAACTAGAACCACACTCCTATGCACTGGAGCAGTAAAGCTCTCCAATCATAACAAGCAGGTGGTTACCCACATATCTCCGCTCAATCTATCGCATACTGTTGCCTGAAAAATTCTTCACCTCACGCAACATCTGGCCATACTTCCGGTACTCAAGCCTCATTGCACTTCAGTTGAGCTAATCCATACAATTCCGTTGCGCCAGATAATCTGTACTCTTAAAATATGACACTTGTTATATAAGAAAATGGGCCCGTTGCATGCTCATTTCAACGTTACTGCCTGCTTTCTTACCTAACCACAAACGTGAATTTGCTTGGAATACACATAACACCTATGCATTCAGGCGCCAGTTCCCCATGTCATGATTTTCCGAGCATAATATAAATTGAACCTAGACATGCAGAAAATGAGTATCGCTACCGATCAGCCTTGAGCGGATGAATCGAAGGTCTGTTGCATGCATGTTAATTCTCTTGGGTTTCACTAGCTACTCTTGTGTTATTCTTCAGAGTCTCTCAATTTCCAAAATTTTCACGGCAGCTGGATCGTAGTTCGGTGTGGCCCTATCATGTGGATTTGTCAGCTTCTCACATATGACCTCGGCTTTTTTCACCCGAAATTGACCGCTAACATGGAGGACCGACACAATGAGGTTGAGTGAGGCGGCCGGATCAGGAGCATGTGCAAGGGTACCACATGGTAAAAACGTGCGCGTCATCCTAGATAAACAAAAAGTATACGACCTTGAGGATGGCCTAAATTCGTGAATGTTCATAGGATTAGGTAGAAACGTTCACCTTGTGGGCGAAGCATTGGCGGAGCATACACTGCGATCATTCATAAATAGTTATCACGAACCAACCCTACAAGCGACCAACAAAGGCGCATATTTTCACACCAAAATATAATACAGATGTGTTAAACCGTATTAGGAAAGGGGCACACTCACCACAACATGAGACTCGTCAACTTTGCGAGTGGAAGCATCGTCAAACAAGTACCAAGTTTGTGTGGGTTCGTTCAGGGCATAGGCTGTGTAGTGACCACCTCCAAGATAGCCCATGTGGTTACTAACTCCTAACAGATCATAGATGAACTGCTCCTTCGTGTCGCGTAGAACCCAGGGAGTGAGATCCAACCCTCTGTTCAAACAAGAAAGAAGGATTGAAGAAGTCAGGTGCAAAGAAGTGGAAATTGTGGAGGCCAGTTGTGGCGTGGCTGGGACCACGAATTATCAATTTTCGGAACCAGAGACGTGAATTTTTGGTTGATTTCAGTGAAGTAAGTCAAAATATGTAGCCAAAAAGATGTTCGGTGGACAGGAAGAACACTTCCGTGATATACTGCATGCTAGCACAAACTACGTACAAGCAGAGAAGTTTCAAAATGAAGATTAAAGTTGCTGGATGGGGTACACACAACACGTTTCAATGGAAACTTCAAGGTAAATTTTGGACATTGGGAAAAGTCGCAAAACACCGGATGAAGTTACCTCCCCTTGTGGAATGTCCACTTCGCATCTTCCAAGCTGGAAGCACAATCTTTGCAGCAGATATAAGTAAGCGAGTAAAGGTACATACAGGACTCAAGGTGACGGCTTCCAGGATAGGTCAAATGCGCTAGTATGTCTGTGATAAAATTCACCAGCTGACAGAACTTATGATGCTAAAGAGCTCCCGGAAACGGGTATTCTGATTTCGACTTACAACTGGAACTGCATGCAAGAACAACCCTAGTCAAATGGATAGGTGATCGTTTCCAAAAATACAAAAAGATACGCTTTGGTTGCTCAGTTCATACATAAACTGAGTGTGATTTTGGAGATTTGCATTTTTGGCATTTCTGATGTGCGAAACTTTCGACTTTCTCAGGGGTTAGTCCCCACGAAGGAAGACTGGAAGTGCAGTGTTCATCAAGCCCAACTAATTGTTATAAAACTATAAACTTCTACCGGAAAACCAACGTGATTACCATTTAAGACGAGGAAAACTTGAAGTTCTCGAAGCAGAACAGGAATAGCAGGATACATTGAAAACATAGGTCATCATTCCTTGAGCAGCAGCAAAAAGCATTGTGAGCGTCCGTGGCACGTTACGCTAAGAATATTGACATATGTTGCAGTCATTTGCCATGACCAGCACAATTACCGTCCGAGGGCCAAGGGAGAAAAATACACATGACCTTGGTGCGTTCAGCGTCCGCTGTTTGATTGGGCTGTCCTGGTTTAGCCGATATCGGTGCATCGGACGACGATTTGCGAAAACACCGTTGAACTCGGGAGGCCTAATCACTGCCGAATTAATGGTAACATACAACGAAATGTGGCCGTGCGTCCTTCAGCCTACTGCTTGGAATGTCACCTATCCCATCTATGCCACCAGCCATAACCATTGGATTAGCAGGGAGCAAGCCAAATAATAAGAACGAATATACGTACGTCGACCGCAAACAAGTCTATCAAATATAATAGTCAGTCGAGCAAGCAAATTCATCAATTTCTGTCACGGCAGTACGATCATTTTTACGTTACAGGATACCAGTGTGTTGCGATGATCGTTGTGCTCATGTATCCTAATCTCATTACCATGCTGAAAGCTGATCTTGCTTATCTGTGCCCCTAACAAGCACTACCAAGCTGGCCAAATAAGATGGGAATAGGTCGTATCAGCTTTGACAAATATGCTGATCCGATTAAGGGGTAAAGTAAGGAAATCGATGCACCCACATGTCCGCTTCGCAGGTCAGACAACTTAAGTTTAAAGCCCCGCCCAACAGAGGATCCAGGTCCTAAAAGGATCGTGTGAACTGACCAAGATAATCATATCAGTAAGGATAGAGGACTGTTTAAACGGGAGAGTAAGGTAATTTACACGTGTACATTTGGGGTCAGTTCAAAAAAAAAAACAAGAACGGGCGCTTACTTCACCGGGAACTCCAAACAAGAACGGCGCTTACTTCACCGGGAACTCCACGAAACTGTCGATTTTGTCGCGAGATCGAAAAGTGGACCGGAATCGTTTCAATTGGATTATAAGTACTTTGGGCAAAGACCATAGATCGAATTTCTTTGTGGCTTGCTTTTCCTTCTTACATCGACTGCAGTACCAAAGATTTCTGGCACTCAATTTCTCTGTTCGTATGAACCGTCTCACGCAGTCCAGCAGACTATCTTTTGCTTTGCTGCATTTGAACTGAACTGTTTGGTAGTTCCATTGTACTGGGACCTCCACTCCATTGCAATCGACGCGGACTTTGAAGAGGGCTGATAGGTCGAAAGGATGGACAGATAATAATCAAGTAAGCAATGAACAACGATAAATAAGTGAAGCGATATGGGCTGTTGAGTTTAACAGTGGCCGGCTCCCTAAGTTCACCATCTTTATGAAAGAATATATGGCCAGCCATACAGGTTGATCATATTCATTCAGCTGTAACATCCTACTCATGTCTAGCTGCCGCGCCACCCGAAGGAAACATGAGGGCTGAGATACTGCCAGGTTGCCCAAGCCTAGACAGGAGCAAGCGATGTGAAGGGGTTGGTTCGAACCAGAGACCTTTCTGTCAGTAACCTCACGTCTTAACCACCGAGCTACTTCGATCCCAGTAGTGCAACTAGTATTCAAAATCGTTGCCCAAATACTCAAGATAGTGACTGCCTGGTATCCCTCAGTCAGAGCTCCAGATCGTGCACACTTACAACTCAGCTGCTCAATAACAGGCAGGTGACAGTCCTACTACGTGATTTGGCTCACTTCTGTCATCTGAATTCTTGGATAGATGATAACGCATCAAAATCGACCACCGCTTCGTCTAAAATGGGGTTCCAGTTACGACATTCAGAAACTACAGAGAGGGACTAGTTGCAACAAAGCAGCGAAGCATCAGTGTTGAACACTGATGTCATGCTGTCGATGAGGAGGAGGAGGATGAAGGACAGCCTCAGAAAACTACTCACAGTAGTCAAACCGGTCTGAAATAGCGTCAACCTCTTGATTGCGTTCATCTGTTAAATGTATTCGGCCGTGAAGAAATCCGCACACCGGATCATCATTTTCATCCATCGGATCATCTGTCTCGGATTCCACTGGATCATAGTTTGAAGATCCTGTCAGTCTGTCCCCAGATTTGTGATTCGCTGAACGTTGCACATGATTGGTGGTGAAGGTATCCTGTAGGTCAATACCAATGGCCCGTAATCGTGAGGCAATTGACCGGATGAGGTATTCGTCGGTCGGCTGCAGCATGTCCGGGGGAATACTGATATAGAAGGGCAAACCGACCCACCCTGAGATGTTCTGGTAACTGAAGAGCATAAAAAAAGAATTATGATCAGTATGATGGTGGCAAACAGCGAACGAAATCCAGCAACCAAGGAAAAGGGTATGGAATACAACGTTCAACCTTTTGCTGACTGTTGCAATCAGTAGGAAAAAATCGCTCAGCTATAATACCCTCTCGGTGCCTAGCTGCCATGCCACCCAAACGAAGGCTTGAGGGGCAAGATACTGCCAGGTCGCCCAAGCTTAGACAGGGTAAGTCGAGAGGTGGAGGTCGGATTCGAGCCACGAACCTTCCGGTCAGTAAATTCGCGCTCTAACCACTGAACCATCTCGCGATCAGTAGAAGTTTTGCCTGATTGGGTGAATGAAATGACACCGTCAAAACGTTCCAAAGATTCATCAAAGTGACATCCACACTCGAAACTGGTTCATATACAAGGTCAGCTACGAGTGCAAAATGAAAGGGGAAAAACTCGAGGGTATAAGTAGCCAGCACCAAGGGCTGAAATATAACACGTACAGACAAACAAACCATTGGCCTTTACCATTGAATGGTTTGAAATGGCACCTTTCCAATGCGAGTTGCAACGGACCAGGATTCTGTCAGGTTACCCAGGTACAAAACAGTGACGATCGACTTGAACCGCAGACGATTTGCTTAGGAGCTTGCGCCCTGTACTTGAACTAGTTCAAGATCTAATCAACACCTGACTGAACCAAACCTGGACGAACCTTACTGTCAGTTCGTTCCCGAACTGGACCTTCTAGGATGGTCAGAAGGCAGTAAGAAATGCACAACACTAAAGACGGCACAATGTGAAATCAGAAAAACAATGAGAAATCAAACACAGATAGGCTTAGAATGTACAGTTAGCTTACGAATCTACAACAAACATTTTAAGTTTACAAAGTCTCGACTATAATATTTAAATTCCACATTGTTAATAATTTGTAACTGGTTCAAAGGAAGAAATAATTCACAAGTCATGTGAAGTTGCCATTTGAGAAGTCGTCAAACGAATAGCCATATGACGTGGATTCCGTGATTGAAAAACGAGTGACGTTTTGGCCTGCTTCCGTGCGAGTCAACCACATAGCTGACCAGCTGTTCGTAGCAAGGAGGTCGCAAGTTCGAATTTCCTAGCTGATGATTCCCGAAACGAATTAAAAAGCTACACAATCCTTTTCGGTATAACCCGACTCCGCTAACAAGAGGCAGTCTCGACTGAAACAATATAACTCAGAAAAATCCGGGTGAGGGATGTCTACAAGATGTGTGTATTCATAGCATCATAGCGAGTTACAGGGAGGCAAATCCAAATGATTCATGTGCAGTTTGCAACCAGCTTCAGGAAAACAGCCTGTTCGTGTGGATCGCACTCCGCAAAAAAGTTGGGCTGCAAAATAATCGATAGGACTAACGGTATCACCACTTGATATAATCTAAGGATGTAAGGTTGCACACACTCCTAGCATGCGAGGTACCGACCAAGGCACAATGATACGCAGTAGGTGGATTGAATGGAGCGAGAAAGTCGGCAGTCAAACACTCACTTGGACTGATGGAACTGGACAGGGATCAATCGGCCCGGAGGAAGTTCAAAAGCGAAGATCGGTGCCCCGTATTGGTAATTTATCTGATCAGTAGAGGTTTTGCCTGATTGGGTGAATGAAATGACACCGTCAAAACGTTCCAAAGATTCATCAAAGTGACATCCACACTCGAAACTGGTTCATATACAAGGTCAGCTACGAGTGCAAAATGAAAGGGGAAAAACTCGAGGGTATAAGTAGCCAGCACCAAGGGCTGAAATATAACACGTACAGACAAACAAACCATTGGCCTTTACCATTGAATGGTTTGAAATGGCACCTTTCCAATGCGAGTTGCAACGGACCAGGATTCTGTCAGGTTACCCAGGTACAAAACAGTGACGATCGACTTGAACCGCAGACGATTTGCTTAGGAGCTTGCGCCCTGTACTTGAACTAGTTCAAGATCTAATCAACACCTGACTGAACCAAACCTGGACGAACCTTACTGTCAGTTCGTTCCCGAACTGGACCTTCTAGGATGGTCAGAAGGCAGTAAGAAATGCACAACACTAAAGACGGCACAATGTGAAATCAGAAAAACAATGAGAAATCAAACACAGATAGGCTTAGAATGTACAGTTAGCTTACGAATCTACAACAAACATTTTAAGTTTACAAAGTCTCGACTATAATATTTAAATTCCACATTGTTAATAATTTGTAACTGGTTCAAAGGAAGAAATAATTCACAAGTCATGTGAAGTTGCCATTTGAGAAGTCGTCAAACGAATAGCCATATGACGTGGATTCCGTGATTGAAAAACGAGTGACGTTTTGGCCTGCTTCCGTGCGAGTCAACCACATAGCTGACCAGCTGTTCGTAGCAAGGAGGTCGCAAGTTCGAATTTCCTAGCTGATGATTCCCGAAACGAATTAAAAAGCTACACAATGCTTTTCGGTATAAACCGACTCCACTAACAAGAGGCAGTCTCGACTGAAACAATATAACTCAGAAAAATCCGGGTGAGGGATGTCTACAAGATGTGTGTATTCATAGCATCATAGCGAGTTACAGGGAGGCAAATCCAAATGATTCATGTGCAGTTTGCAACCAGCTTCAGGAAAACAGCCTGTTCGTGTGGATCGCACTCCGCAAAAAAGTTGGGCTGCAAAATAATCGATAGGACTAACGGTATCACCACTTGATATAATCTAAGGATGTAAGGTTGCACACACTCCTAGCATGCGAGGTACCGACCAAGGCACAATGATACGCAGTAGGTGGATTGAATGGAGCGAGAAAGTCGGCAGTCAAACACTCACTTGGACTGATGGAACTGGACAGGGATCAATCGGCCCGGAGGAAGTTCAAAAGCGAAGATCGGTGCCCCGTATTGGTAATTTATCTGATGATTCATGTGCCATGGACGGCTCAGTGAGTGATTGTACACTTCGGCAACAAAGTACTACAAATGCAACCGTAAGTGAAAACCAGTGACTAGTCCAGGGATACCATGTTCTGACTAAAACACTGAAAGTCAATAACTGTTATGCAGCTGTACGCTGGAGGAAAGTGTAAATAGCAACAAAATTGGAGACGTGTACAACGAGATCAAACCGCAGGGTTACTGGATCATATTAGGGACTTAATGTTTGTAGAGTACACAAACCAGGACTGCCACCCCGCGAAGGAAGACTGGGGCGATAAAAAACAAACTGTCCCCTCATCTCAAGAAATGGACCGAAACAAACCTCACCAGGTTGAGAAGGATAAAATGTGCAGTGCTAAGGGAATGGAGAAAGTATTGTGGCTAACTCAACTACATCTAGGCTGTTGGCGCTCCACTAACTTCTGGGATCTACAATTACTAACCGAAGCTTGTCTCTTCAACGTCTCAAACAATACCCGAGAAAAAGTCATCTTATAATCAATATGGTTGAATCACATGAGCTTCAGAGATCCGTTTTGCTTAGATACGTGTCATATCTGAAAATACCTCAAACCAAGTAACTTCGATTTCTCATTCTTACTTCACAGAAAGATAAAGCCTTGATCTCTACATCGTGAGATAAGTATTTAAGCGCATAAGCCAACATTAGGACATTATGGTATAGGATCAGGGAATGATGAAAGTCTGTCGTGGATTGCGTACCTAAGCGCAAAATAACGGTTGCTCGTCTTGATTGACGGAGGTAAGGCCAAGTACAAAGATGCAACTTTTAAACACTTGTACGGTGACTGTGTTCCTTTCCCCCATCAAATATGCCACCATGAAAGGAAATGTCTCCCCGATGATCACTGCAGTACTTCACTGCAAGACCACCCGAAATGCAAAATAAATGGGAATCACCAGGTTCGTTTCTTCTTCCATGGGATTTCTTGGATGTCGGTTTTTTATGAAGAACACTGTATAACCATACAAAGTTGTGCCATGCGCACAGACACCCCAACAAACAATGCCATTCGAAACCACTTTCTTCAGTGCTTGATGGGGAGATCCAAAGAAATCAGAATCAGCTTGTCCTTTAGACAAGCGAACAATCTGATACACGATAACTGTTCGTGTATTCTTACTGAACAACTACCCTACCCTTCATTCAGTCAAATCGGCTCAATGCTCTCATCGAGGGATTGGAGCCACTTGGCCAAAGTTGATAAATCAAATTGTGAGCGTGTAGGTAACAAAAGCACGAGATCACAATCAGATCGCATACATTGCCGAACCTTTTTAGTGCATGTATTCCGATCATCTGGCGAGAAACGCCATTTCCTCAAGTTGGTGCGGCAAAACTCAGCAACACACAGAGTCAGTCAGTGGCTGGTGCTGACAAGCAACCCTCTCCCTCAAATATACGCGTTAGAAGAGCTAACCGATGTAATCAATCTACACCCGCTACCTAAAGGTAAAACATCACACACAGTCAGCCAATTCGAACAACAAGCATACTAAACATTAAACCAGTCCCTTTTGCGTCTCGCCCGTTAAACTAAAAATGTCTTTGTCGTCCATGTGATACTGAAGGAATCTATAAGATGCAGCAAAACAGCCGTTGTGAGCTTGCCCAGTTGACCCGGTTCCACAGGTTCACGTGTACACAACAGAGGGTAATTGCAATCCGAGGATCAATCAGAACGATCATCTCACCTACACACTTAGATCCGGTTTTTAGCGTGTGTTCTCTACGTAAGAGGGACTACACTGAAATTGAAAACTATTAGTTATGTTGTGGTCAGCTGAGATTTCTTCAAAAAAAGCACACGACAAATCAACAACATAAACATATTATCAATAAAGAGTCACGTGCGAACCAGCCGAATAAAAAACCACAAATTATGTGCAGCACACGTAATCGCGCTGGTAATTGAAGTGAAAGACTCATAAATGAAAATGACTTGCTCAGAATGAACGAGTGCTGTACTACATTGATAATACATCATCGGTTTGGGACGGAAAAACTCAAAAAGTCGTAATGCCGGTATCCTAAAAGGGCAGTGGCCCATGTGTGGAGCAGGGCAGTAATAATAATAAAGGGTTTGTCATTAGTTGAGAAGCATCGAATTCTTGGTTTGCAGTAAAATCAAGATATAAGTTTGAGGAAGCTAGTGTTCTAACGGTTAGGAATCCGAGAATAAGTCAAGTGCCCCCGACAAACTGTACATTCCCGAATAGTATCGATTGTAGAGGAATGACAAGCAACTGAAATTACACGCAAGAGTATATTCTTGAACACAATCTATGAAACGAACAAGGCGTTTTCCACTCTGGAAGTTCGCTAAGAAAGCCGTTCACTGATCACATCAAGAAGCGTCATGATGACCCACTGCGCCTAGCTGAGTCCCTTCAACGATGCCGTCTACAATGGCCGAAAGAGGCAAAAACAACATTGGAATTTTGAAATAGACTTTGTTCCGGGACAACCCACCTCAGCGCCGTAAACGGTGACAAGGAGAAACTTGTATAAGAAATTCGTTGCTGGAACAGACAGAGGGTGGTGATTTGTGCAGCTTCGGCGCAGATCATCAAATTTAAGTAATACCTATAAGAGACTCCACCGTACCACGAGAACTCATCGATTTTACACCAGAGAAATCATGCGACCAAGAAAGTAAATACATTTAAAACATTCAATTTTCCCGTTTTTGATAGCCTATTAATTTGTCATGATTTTTAGCCTTCCATGGAAAAAATGACAAACCGACTGCGCGCCTCGAAAGGCTAAAACGAACGGATGATCAAGTAGCAGACTTTCAGCGAAAACAGATTCAACAAACCCCTCGCGCTGGCGGTTGTTGCCGTCACTGTTAAGGCAATGCAATGGACTCCTGCAGGAAGATAACTTAGAACGAGAGTGGATTTTCGATGGAACAAGCTACAAGAATTAACTCAGGCATCATTTACTAAACTTTCGGGCATGGATCTAGGAGCTTCGTGCGTTCAAGTGCGTCGTCTAGTACTGGAGCAGATTTCTGGATTGTCACTAACCTGGCTAAGTTTCATTCACCATTTGATGATATGCAGTACAGTCTGGGTTCTCCTCCACTGATATTAAGCTATTCGTTGGATCTTCGACAGCTCACCTTACCAGACCGAGTTAGTGTAGCATACAGGCGACTACTAGAGTCTGAGTAGCGAGTGGGGATCAAGGACGAATGAACCGTTTTGCAAAAACGGTATGAACTCACCGATCGGGAGAATTGATTCTTGTTGAGTGTCGTCTTCAAAATAAGTGAGGTACAAATGGTACCAAAACTATGGAAACAGGGAAGCTATTTTGCTCTTGGACGCTAGGCTCAAAGGGCATGGATAGGCGTATCAACTATTTTGTGCTGCCAAGGTCGTATTCTGCAAGATATTGGAATATGTGCTACGAAATGCTATTCAAGGTCATGGTCCAATTAACCAAAGACCCGAGGTTTAAAAGAATGAGCTCAGTACCTGACAATCTTCATGATGCGGTCGCAGTTCTTCCAATGATGTGATGAGGTCTCGAACGAAAAATTCAGCAGAGACCATCACTTCGTAACGAATGGGCCCAGCCTCCTGTGCGTCATCACAAACCCAAGGCCAAACGTGTACCACTCTGAGGAAAGTAGATACTTCAGACAAAGGGAGACTCAACGAGGCAAACGGATCAAAAGTGACGGACCGTTCATTGCAGTCGGGGCAGACCACAGTAGACTTGAGCTGTCCGTGAAAGTAGTCCACAATCACGGAATCGTTCCGAGCCTTGTGGTTGCCCCAGGCCTCGGTTGCAACAACCTGCAGCAGTGAAAAGTACATGAATGTGGGAACATCAAAGCTCAAGTGGTCAGTTACAAATTCACTACAAAAAGACTGGTCAAATGGCTTCTTTTAGCCCATGACAAGTCATTACAATAAGAACAGCTTAGAAACGCCACTTTAAGTTCACGTAAAGCGGAAAGCCGAAAGAGCACTAGCACTCCCCATATCAAACGGACCGCAAAATCTCCGGCTCAGGAGCCATCATGCGTTGTTTGGGTGAGACTACAAAAATGATCAAACTTATCAGGACAAGCGCATGCAGATAATTAGGTACCAACTGACCGGACCCGATGAGAAAAAAGCAAAACGAAAATTCATCTACAGGGGTCCGAATAGAAAAGCGTAAAGTTATTCACAAGTCACTAAAACTCATCCACTTTTCCTTATAAGGTTATGTACACGTTGATATCGTTTCAGGCAAATGATATCCCAACTAACACTGCTGTCAGTTGTTGCGATTCCTAAGCTGTGCTGCTCACTGATGTGAGGGCCGGCAGAACGAGCTTCACATCGGAGGTAAATTGGACTTCATAGTGTAACAGAATATAGGCCACAGAAGTACTCAGCAAGAAAACACACCACTTATTAGGTCATATAGCGGCATGGCTAATGTAAACTCACAAGTTAAACCAAATGAACGGATGCATAGAAAACGGGTCACGCGTGAACGAAACCACCCACCAGAGTATTGGCACAAGTTGTGGAACCACGCTTCAGGTTGGAATATCCACTTCATACAACCAAAATTGGAGGCTAACTGATCGTAGATTGGAGATAAAAGGGAAAGACTAGACCTAAAAGCCCAAATTTAATACTGTTTTGCCTGGGTCTACACACAGGGCGTTCACATGAACTTTCTCAGCGGTGTAACGCCCCCCCCCCACCCCAAAAAAAACGCTAGGGCTCCTGCAACAAAAACTTAGCCAACTTAACGGTGTATTCAAGTTGCGCCAGGGTTTAGGGCTCCTCAACAAAAACTTAGCCAACTTAACGGTGTATTCAAGTTGCGCCAGGGTTTCCAAGCCATCCCTGTCCAGACAGAGTGGGTGGCGGCTATCCGAAATGTATGAATAATTTTACTCCCGTTGAATTATCCAGTTGAATTATCGAGTGGGAAGTGAAACAGTACTAATGAAGAGCGTGTTTTTGGTATCGTTACAAAGGGGAATTAGGAAACTGGGTGTTCATACAGAAAAATGAACTTGCAACATTCATGGTGCAAGAAGAATCAAATAAGCTTGAGGTCAGTGTGGCGGCTCCCGTGATAATGTGGAAACAAGTAAACATTTCGATGACCGTTCTGTGTGTACATCACAAAATGTGCCGAAAAATAAGCAATTTGCCGCAGCTTGATGGGTGCCTGCAAAAACCTCGCTCTGAAAGTACGGTAAGATTGATTTCGTTCAGTGCAGCTGCCACGGTACGTGGGGCTATATCCTTGCCCAAAATGCGCCGTCATAAAACGCCACAATCTCAGCCCACTTGAAAGCGGATGTGCACCACTGATAATGGAATCATGGTTCTTGGCATCTCCTTATACATAATAATCAATAGCCGTTCAGCAGAAACCACTTCTGCTTGTCTACCTGTCATGCAACCCAAAGGAAGCACGACGGCTGAGATAATCCCAGGTTGCCCAAGCCTTCACAAGAGCAGTCGAGGTGCCCGAGTTGGGTTCGAATCGCCGACCTTCTAGTCAGTAAGTTCGATTCTTAGCCACTGAGCTATCTCGCGTCATATTCTGTTATATGACCACTAACTATTACCCTGAAGACTGAAAACAGTGTTTTAGATTTTTTGAGAATACAGCACTTCGAACATGAAAATTATGCCAGTAGTATACGTGTGAGGAGGTGACAAACTACCCATGAACCGGAATTCAACGTCGGTGGGGACGGAGGACCGGTTAAAGCAATCGTTCGACACATCCGAGACATAGAACGTGAAATATATTCTTCGTGATGTTGTTGACGGCCCTCCTAAATATGATCGGATAAGTATCCGCCTTATTTGGCGTTCAGGCTACAAGGAATGCTGGTTTGTAGGGACATTATTGGCTCGTCCGTGTGACCGAAAATTGTCTGATGAGTTGATATTAATGTTCGGAAAATCTCTGCTTTTGTGGACGACTAGACCGCCGTGAATTCGAAAAGCTTCATCAGCTTAATAACCATAACGAAAATAGTTCTCAACTCTACATATCTCTTTTAGTCCAAACCCATGCACACCCAAGTGATCAACCACAATAGATATATGAAATAATGGTATCTGTCAAGTTTATTCGCCTTATAAACTTTTGGGAGTTCCTTGCGAGCACCTTAAAAAAATGCGAATACCTATCGGCAAACACCACACCAAAACTAGACCTACCTCATCTGGTCGATCACCAGCGTCCTTATATTGGATATACGGCTTGTCAATCACTTTATTCAGATCTTCATGCAACCCATCGAGCAGAAACATGAGCAATTCGTGGGAGTCGTGTTGAGCGTATCCGTAGAACTGATTGGCAATCGCCGCAATTTCACGCTAGATTCAGAAACGGGACAAAGGGAGTTGGAATGTAGTTTGGACTATTTCTGGAGCCAGTAAGGATAACATGGCGTACATGAATGAGGCAATCGTAGTTTCGGCATGAAATTAACACTAGCCAATGAGCCACAGAGTCTAGTGTGCATCACAGAGTGATGTTAATCAACCCATTGAGTTATTAGCGCCATGATAGCGTCTGGCTCACTGGATTTACACGTCGTTCCAGTGAAGCTCACTTGAAGCGATGGGCGAACATCACCAGTATCGTATAAGTAGTACACATTCGCAGTCACAATCACGGTACGAATTTACATGCAAACAGTTCGGGCCCGACTACGGTTAGTGGTTTGGATGAACGACAGACTTTAACCGGTGCAAAGATGGAAGACACACGGATGAATAAATATAGTAAATTTTAGAGTTTTTGAACGGCAGTGACAAAGGAGACACTAAGGTTCCGGAGGCTCACGATGGAACGGTAAGATTAGACGAAAATTCCATTTAACTGGAGTACGTTCTGTAGCGTTAAAAGAATAGTCAGTCGTCAGCTGGTTATCGTGCGCCCCCCCCCCATTATGTGACAACTAGTGAATGTTCCAATTTGAAATAACGTTATCTCAAGAAAGGGGTCAACCACAATCCAAAATGTGAGTCTAATTCTGTTATTCATGTGCCAAAAAAGATCACACAAATGGGTTACTGAAAGAAAACCAAGTTGAGGGTAGCTCAGTCGGTTGAAGTTGAGGCAATAGGAGTCAACGGTAATAGAAGTAATGCATCAGAATTAGGAAAATCCGTGCAGTGATTTTACACATAAACTGCCGCGCTACCTTCTATCGACCTTCAGAACAGGGAATATGCTTAGATATGTGTTTTGCAGTAAGTAGGGTTGCATCCAGAAAAGATTAAGAAAAGATTAAGATTAAGGCAAAAACGCTTGCTGTATGTCAGCTCGTTGAAAATAGTGAAGTCCTGGTGTTGGATCAGACATACAGTGAGCAGGAGAGCGCATGTAGCAGCCATCAGCAGAAGAGTTGTACCAGTATGCTGCAAGGAATCCCCATAAAGTCATCCTGTTTTTCTTCGTTTCATGTCTTCAACTCAAGGTGGAAAAAATCGAAAAAAAACTGTACAATTAGCCAAATCAACATGCCTAATGATGTACACAAGGCCGAATCATAATTGGACTACGTACAGTTACAGTGCTTCCTCTCCTGACAGGCATCATTTTGAAAGCTGCTCACAGTAACTCCAAGAAATGACGTAGTGGTTTCCCACATTTGGTGACCCATTCCCTACCACGACAAAATTTGATGCCTTCTGAAGTAAATTTATCATGAAATCCTTAAAAGGCCAGTCCGTTTTATCTAAACAGTTCGGTTCCTCCTAAACCGGGCTCTTCTCAAATTCGGATAAACAAAATAGGGATCTTGAAATTTTACATTCGTTTACCATTCAAGAAAGAACCGGTTATCTTTCTCCACGAAATCTAATAAGTACAAATAAGATCTTGATACAGGTGTACATTTATGCTCTAATCTGCCTGAACAATTGGCCAAACTGTTTCTGAGAAATTATCACACTCATGTGATGAGCGTTAAGAAGGACACGCCCCTAAATGAGAGGCTGATAAGAGGTAGCGCTTCATAATTGCACGTATCCGGAACATGATCTGACGTTGAACGTATCACTAGTGAACATACTGGTTGGTTATTTCTGCGACGCATTCCATATGCTCGGGTTAACGAAAAAACAATAATGGGAAAGGTGGAGTGGTTTCATAAAAGTTCCGCACACTATGTATGTCCGTTGATACCTGTGCAAAGTAATTAGTAGATAGAAATGTTTGTGGGGCATGGAAATCCCTCAAAGAGTAACAATAATCTAAAGACGACGGAGAAAAAAAACTCCCTGGGGATCAAGGTGTGGAAGTAAACAGAAACACTGAAAAATAAGCTGATAAACTTCCTTGTTTTTGGATAATATGAGTATGATTTACCGCCATCAATGGTAACAATACGGTGGCGCTAAATTGCCAATGTATTTAACTAAATCCCAATGATGTGCGAAGCAAAGTGGAAAGGCAATTGGTACTAGCCTACCGAGGTCCTCAGCTCTCCAAACATTTATTCAGACGACCTGGACAACAACTGACAGAACGAACGCCATTGACAATCGTAACTTGTTACGTATCCACCAGGCACTAGGAGGATCACGTGAACACCGTACTAAAAAGCGGACATCACCCAGACTAATTGTTCACCCTTTTCTGTCATGACATAACTTGGGCATCTGATTTTAGTCACTCCGAGTTTTACAGTTTACTTGCCTGCGGACGACATGACCGAGGTAGTTCTGTATGTATTCCACAAGTAAAGTGCCTGCTGCCTCAAGAAGTACGCGTTTCCTGGACATCCGTTAGCGGATCTGTTGGTGCCAGCCTGTCCCGGCTATTGTCCGTAGACATCGATACTCAAAAGCACAAAGGATCCTTAGATCCTCCACCCACAAGGTCCATGTTTTGTGACCACACGCTAACAAAGCTAAGTAAATAAACACAAACCTTGAGATCCAAAAGATGACAAGGGGGCGATGAGAGGGAGCGATGGTGAGAGACCAGGGGGCAAGATCGCTCAGTGGATAGAGCGCCGGGAGTTCCGTGGTTCGAAACCGAATTCTGTATCTCGAATTCCCCTTTCTAGGCTTCGGCAACCGGACAGTATCCCAGCCCTCATGCAACCTTCTGGTGGCATGGCAGTTGGGCACCGAAAGGGTGTTGCAGCTGAACAATTATTATTATTTATAAAAGATGACTTCTTGGACACCACAAGCACCATAACTTCACGAACACGATTCCAAAGAACCACGATACGATTTTGATCGGCTACGTTCCAACAAAAATCTACATCGAAAAGTGGATCAATTGAGAAGGACTTAAATAGGTGACGAGCCCGTATGCACAATTCGTCCCCGAAAGGCACAGGCAGTGGAAATGCGCATGATGATAGTTCATAAATGTATTTTAGGACGACCAATAATCAGCAATCGCTACAGGTTACCGAATAAAAAATCTCATCTATTTATGCTTGGAACCTTTTTGTATGTAAAGAGCACCATAAGGCCAAGGGATATCGTTTATTTCGGAAGTCAGGGTGAAATCTTCGATCAGTATATGGCTGGAGCAGACGTTTACCATGGTTCTCAATGTGAATCCAGGATCTCGGTAGCCCTAAGCCTACATGAGCGTTAATAGCTTAGGTAGTCGTAAGTGTCTGCGCTTCCAAGATGCAGTAAGAAAGCCTTAAAAACTCTGACAACCTCGGATTTAGTCTGATCGCGCACAACTACCCAGGTGTATGAAGGCGACCCGGCTGATATCATCACGTGACGGCCGACGTGGCACCAGGTAATTGATGGCTACGATATTCATGTTTGTATGTAGTTTCTTGTACTACTAGACAGGAGGACGAGTAACGTCCTCAACAAAAATCTGTGACCAGAACGCAACACAGTGGTGGTTAACGTACGACTGCTGTGCCCCAAATATGAGAAACAGGCTGCCACACACTTTGCGACACTCAACCTGGAAGGCCAAGAGGCTGTACTGCTTAGACCCACATCCACTGAACAACCTGACATAAAATACTCTGCGAGTTTCAGACCACCGTAAGGCTCAATGAGGCACAGGAGTTACATAAACTGTCCCACCTTGTACTGAAGTTCAGTGTTTTCGTGAAGGAGTATAAGTTTCCGAGAAAGATGACGAGGGGATTTACGTCATAAGCAATCATAAAATATTCGAGCCGGAATTCAAGAGATTCTAACCCAACATATACTGCTTCCAGAATGTTGCAAAACTGTGCTTATATGAAGAAACTTTACAGCAAAGCAGGCTCACTGATACAATAAAACACCGAACGTAACTTTGCCCCACTAATTTCGAGCGAAATATCAAAAACACCAATCTGCATCTTTCTTCCACCATTTGGTGTCAATAAGCCATCAACGGAAAATTAACATGAACATGCGGCTAGACCACTGTGCTCCAAGCGAGACCGTCTCAAAATTGGGACTACTTCGGCAAGCCCAGCGGCATTCTTCCACCAGAAAGCAGTTGCTACGTACTAGGGTAAAACGGAGTTGAGCTAAGTTGCCGCGTATGATTGCACAACAGGTGACGATGATAAAAGCACGGATAGGAAGACCGAAGGAACGCCCAATCCAAAAGTGATGACGCAACACATGAGTCTTTCGTATTGATATGCTTTCAGTTTTGAAACTCACAAACTGTGTGTGGATAAAAGCACAAAGTTTGAAAAAAGATATGGATACAAAAAATGTAGGAAGTACGTGTTTTGTGTGTCCTGTGGCAGTGTTTCACTCTTTGTATCGAAAAGCATATGCTCCGAGAAATGTACTTAATATAAACCGTAAGACAGTCGCTTGCACGGTCCTTTGGATGAAACAGAATAGATGCAGACGTAAAGAGACCCTGATGGTACGCTTCACAAGAGCCTGCAAACTGGGTAACGCATGTAATAAATATGCCAAGGTCAAACACCTCACCAACTCACTTTTAGAGTTCTCGGGACATCGTAGGAATACAGTCCGGACCACATACGGCCGATCAACTCAGCATAAGCTGATGCGATGCGTCCTTGAGTCCCAAGCGGGTTGTATTTGTTGATATCCACCTTCCAATTGCCGAGGAAATACCTTGTCAAGTCGGGAACATTAGACAAACACTGGATCGCGCTATTCATGAAACAGGTGTTCCCTAAGTTACTCAGTCCACAAACACCCCGCAGTTGTTTGTTTCCACTCGTAAGTTGGGGCAGCCAGTTGCCAAACCCATACTGGGATGGCGAGGAAACATTATTGCCAAGTCTAGATCCTCCAAGCTCACTGAAAAGAGATGAAAAGGATTAAAGGGACAAAGAGATATCACGCTGTCTCAGCCTGTTTAGTCATCATTCACCGGTCAGCTAGAATTGTGAAAAAACTGGCAGATTGAACGAATAGTCATTAACTTTTCGAGTGAAATAGAAGATGGACAGAGGAGGCCAGTTTCAGTGAATACAATCCATGGCCAGACGTACGATTTTATGCAGGATGGTACCAAGAAGGAATAAGAGTCCTACCCCGAACATTAGTCTGGAATGGGACCAAGTTTGGGGTTACAACATGGGCGGATTCGTGTCGAGGCAAAATATTAACCATGCGCGAATGGCGGTGAAGTTGGCTTTTTGCGCAGTAGTGACCGTGGATGATTGTCATAAGTGGAATGAAAAAGAGCAGAGAGCGGTAAGACGGACAATGGTGCAGAGTGATGACTTGGATGTAACGGTCGAAGAGTGAATCGTTCACATGAACAGGAAACAAAGTGGAGGAGAGCGCACCTCCTTCGGGTACTCCAGTGCCGGTGTTGCGGGACTGACAAACAATGCTGTCCATGAAAACCGACAAAGAGGTCTGTACAATATGCTTCCCATTTAGCTGATCGAGCCGCATGGGAAGTATGGCAAGGGAGTCAAGTTAGACCCCATGAAAAGCCTTCGATAATGGAAGGGAAAAACCAAACGTGTGTCACGTAAGCTAACGCACCACGCGTGGAAACCCAGGGCTCGAGTCAAAATCACTCAAGACAGTCCTTAAGACTGCAGACAGATGTGGTCAGAATGGGGCGAAAGCTGCGTTTTAGAATGGAAATAATGATACGTCCCTACGGAATGAAGAAAAAGACAACAACACGAAGACCGAAGAATAGTCTTTGAAGCAACTACAAAGAGTTTGGAGATTGGAGGGATACCGTCTGAAACAGATTATCGGTACTGAAAAATGGCAAGCCCGCCCTTCGCATAATGAGTTTAGGCTTAAATTTGCCTAACAACGGCAAACAATTAGTAAGTTGGGCAACGTAATCAGCTCCAGTCAAGGGGGCCAATTCGTTCCTTAACACCCAAAGACGCCATTAATTAATCTGAAAAAATGGACGAAATTTGACTGGCCAGAAGTAAAAAAAAATGCTACATAAATAGCAAACCACTTGTGAAGTTTCTGACCACTATTTGACAGCACGTCATCAGTTCTGTCCTACCTTGGGTTCGCCAAGTAGGCGTAGTCCCCTGTTTCACTTGAACACCAAACTGTGCAGAACTGATAAATTACACTCAGTTACGAAACAAGTTGGTAGCAACAGGGGACTCAACTGAATTTCAGCAACCTTAGTAGAGTTTTAAGCTGAAAAATTATAATGCGATATCTCGAACAATGTGCCTACTGGAACATGAGGTGGATCGTGTACAGCGCATTCAGCTGTAGAATACCACAAGCAAGGTCACTTCATTCGCCCCTTAACACCAACGTAACCTGAAAAGGGGTTTAGTTCGAACACTTGGAACCTTTCCGGAAAAACGAAGAAACCCTCCAAAGAGCAACATTTCCAGAAAAGAACATTTGAAAATTGGCGTACATCATCCCATTTATCAGAATATTAGCACCATATCATACGATGAGAAGATGCGCCATGCCTTAAATGGGGGCTGAATCAGGTAAAATGACTGGACACGGATCTGAGGCACTGAAACTTAACAAACTGATCTGAACGATATGGCGACAAAAAGAGAGCCAGTGCTTGGGCAGCATCTACATCAGGGAACTGATTTGGAAACCGGACCTAAAGTTGCCAACACGACGTGGTGGTCGGGCTTCAGTGCTCCAATGATCCCGCGGGCTACACTGGCTGGAACTTCGTTCCACAAGGTTCAACCATGCCAGGAAGGCCAAAGGGGAGCAGCCAGACCAAGAGCAGCGAGACCCCGTACTACGAGTAATCGTGCTACGAGGCGGCCTGGAGGTAAACCAGCATGTCCATATTTATGGAAGCAGCGATGCTGCCTTCCCTCGAGGAGGGACGGGTTAGAAAATGTCGGCCCCAAAACCGCACACTCCGATCACCCAACGGTTTACTGTGACCACAGGCGCATTGTCCAATACGGTCGAAATACTTTTGAAACCAAACAGCCCGGTGCTGCTCAAAAGGCACCTGCTGTGCGCAGCCGCGTCAGGAATGAGACAGTAACGCCTTATTCCCTGCGCCCTCGGGTAAGGCCAACCCCCTGCAGCCGAGCAGGTCAGACTATTGAAGGCATCGGCCCGGGCAGGGTCCCGAAAGAAAACCCTACATTCTCCCGCCGCCTCGTGGGTCAGACTTTTGAGTCAGAGGCTAGGGTCAGGGTTCCCGAACAAAACCCTACGTC